CAAGTCAGTCACTTATGTGCCATGCGTGACACACGTTTAGGCAATCAGGTATCTTTCGATACATGATTGACGAGGCAGATTTTCTCTCGCAGTAGGTTGCCATTTCTTTCTGCGGTAGACCAGTTGCCATCTAAAGCTATAGAACCAAGTCTGTCTTGCTAATTACCCATAGCTGGGGGAGAAGGGGATTCATACCTTTTCCCAAGGGTATTAGCACGTAAGTGAATGTAATGGATTCGAGTGGAATTCGAACTCGGCTCTCCGATTCCTCAATCCGAAAGTTCAAGAGGAAGAGATAAGATTTGAATTTCACCTAAGGAGTTCGAATACTTCAAGATAATCAATTTTTGTTGAATTTGATCGTTCTACTAACGTTATAAAATATTCATTAAGGTTAACATATTTGGGTACAAGAAATAATGAGATGCTGTAGGTAGAAAGATTGAGTTGCGTTAATTTTTCAGGTGGAAATGGCTTGGTAGCCTTCAGAATTAGCATTCCAAATTATAGCCTTTTTTCTGGGCTCTAATAGAATATTGGCACAGACGGAATATAAGTAATTATGTTATCAATCAGATCAGTTGATTCAAATTCTCTTCGACTTGGAAGAATTAAGAACAAAATTTATTTCCGAATTCAAGTGTGTTAATAATTCCAACATTTTTCTCTTTTGAATCCCCCACTCCGAATCATTTTTTTTATTATTATTATTTCTGGTCAGTTATAAAAATCTTATTTGTTTAATGATTTCTACGAGAATAACAATTTTCTAATTTTTATTTTAAATAAGTTTTTCCTCAGTTGGCAGTTACTCGGCCCAGAAAAATTGTACAAAAGTTAATTTTTTTTTAAGTGTTCCATGAAATACTTAAGAGCACATAGATATTTGAGATCTATTAGACATTCTATACCTAGCCTTTTGTTTACATCCTACTGAAATTTGGGGCCAAACTCACTACTTCTGTGCTCATAGAACCACACCCAGGTAGGGGGGTGCATACTGAAAAAATTATTACTCCCTTTAATGAGCTATGCAGTAACTATTATAGCTGTATGTTCGTCAATAAATCCATAGCCTAATGGAAAAACAAAACACATACAACAAAGACAAACCTTTATTTGGGATAACAATTATTTTATCTTTTACATAATTTCCTTCCTTGCGAATGCTCTTTCCTCAACGCTTCTCTAGGCAGACACATCGCCAGAGTATTTAGAGTGGTAGGGGGTGCCTTTAACACAGGGGGGTTGCCAGTAAGAATTTCTTTGTACGCTAAAATTAATTCACATTATTTTCACGAGGGAGTTGAAAATGATTTTCTAGTGGGTTCAAACCCCTCCCATACACGCACTATCAGTTCCCCGTGCCACCTCTCCCCCCTTCAAATATTTAAATAAAATGCCCGTTCTTTTGTTTTCTCTCCATAATAATTTTTTTTCCCTCATTCTCTCATACCCAATAACCGTTTTAGTGGCTTTATTGTCTTACTTGGGGTGAAATGATATATAGAATTAATGGATCTATTTTTAATACTTCAAACGTTATTTAGTGGAGACTCGTATTTGAACAGTGCGTATTAAGTATGCACAGGCTGACAGACGTAATACACACAGTTTAAAATAAAAAGAGGGCGTCTGTTTTAAATATGAGTATCCTCTAAATAAGAAGGTTTTAAGTAATATATGGTTTGTGCCTGAACTGAAGGCAAAATAGTGAGGGATTTCATTGCTTACAAAATCTATTTATCACTGCTACACGGTTTCTGCAGAAATGTAATTCTCTATAGTGATATAAAACTCGATGGCAACGCTTTAGTGTCGTGAATCCCAGGTGGTTCCGTTTCTGTCTGTTGTGTGCATCAAAATCGCCCAAGATAATTCATCAACCGAACAGACGTTCTAAATATGTCGGCTCCCATTAAACTTGGAAGAAATAGCGTTCGTCGTTTTGTACATCAAAGACAACGCCTTCCGCTGACCTGCGAGCAGTAAAACAATTTTAAGCTTTCTTTGTATATTAATTTGAATAAGGCACTGATATATTGTGATTGGTCTGACCGTAGCTTAGATGTGGCACAAGGCTGAAAGTATGGGCACCCATTGAGGATCGAAATTACTATTTAGTCATAATTGATTTAGCGAGACAAGTTTGCTAACCATTACACCACGTCAAAGTGCCCAGAAATATTGATATATTGGCGCGTAAAATGATTCGGCCTATTTCGTGACTGAAATAGTTACTCCGATATTTATTGCATATAAGAATACACAATTTTGGCACAAGGCCTAAAAAGGGGGAAGTGGCTGAGGCTGGTCTTCACTTACTATCTTATACCTAGCTAATCAGATTCACGACCTAGTCACTCGTTACAATTTGCACATTCGCCACAAGAACTCATTCATCACCAATCAATCCTCCATATACCATAATACCGTATACTCTCAGGGAACCTAAAAAACGCACCCCGCGAATTTATACATAAAAATCTGAGGATTTACAATGAGAGGGGGGGGGGAATGAACTCCCCCCCAAAATTAAATATCAAAAAAAAGAAAAGATAACTGAATGATTCTCTAAGCGTAGCTTAGATGTGACACAAGGCCGACAGTAGGGGGCTTTTAGTGAGGATCGAACTCAGTATTCATTCGTAACTAACCTAGCGAGACAAGCTTGCTAACCATGACGCCACGTCGAAGTGTCCAGAAAAACTGCTATATTGGCACATAAAATGATTCGGCATATTTCGTGACTGAAATAGTTACTCACTTCTCTCGACAGAAAACACTGGTGTTATATAGCTCTCCCAGTCCCACCCTGACTATTGGCTAATACCGGCCCAGTAACTCTAAGTAGAAGGTCTTCTCTCAACAACGCATTGTAGAAGGGGACGCAAATACAACCAACTCGGAGTCTTTTATTGGGCTGACCGGATTCTCTGTTACAGTATATCCTGCCAGTGTTCGAACTGGTAAAAAGCTCGTATTTCAAATGCTAGATTTCAAGCTAAGCATGCCCTCCCAATGAGAGATTGATGTAACACAATCATTTTTACATAATAAATAAAATAAACTGAATACTGTGTTTGTATGCGTGTGCGTGCGTGTATGAACAAAATTCGGAAGTTAAATGTATATGAAAAAAACGGATGCTTGCATCATCATCATCACTACTACTACTATTACTACTACTACTACTACTCGAATTACCCGCGCCTGCTCCGTGTCATACATTTTATTTTGTAAGAAAATGATGATTGATTTTAAATCAGTTATAATTTGTGGAGAAAAATGGTGCATTTCAATATTAATCACTGTTCTTTCCAATGTAACTTCCATCTTCTGGCTTTCTCCTTCTATATGTTGGATAGGAGACATTCCCTTGTTCAAATTTAAATTAAATCAAAGGGAAAAAAATCTTTCAGTGGTGGATTTGTGCAAAAAAGATTGATCTGACCCCTTTGATATGTATTTGATGCAATACTTGATTGAATTAATTGATGAGCAGATTTCAACAGTGATATGACAGTTGAGTTGTCGCAACAAATATGTATTGTACGGCACTATCCACTGATTGATGATTTCTTGTTCAACTTGGTGTCCATATTGTCTCATTTTGATCTTGTCGATGTGACCGCCATCTTCAGGCTTTCTCCTTCTATGTTTTAAATAGGAGTCATTCCCTTGCTCAAATTTAAATTTAATCTAAATTAAAAGAAAAATATTTCAGTGTGTGGTTGGGTGTTTGCTCTCCGGGGACCGCCTTTGATCAAAATGAAATATACTTATCCAAATGCACTAGGAGCATTAGAGTGGTAGGGGGTGCCTTTCACACAGGGTGTTTGCCAGTAAGAATTTCTTTGTACGCTAAAATTAATTCACATTATTTTCACGAGGGAGTTGAAAATGATTTTCTAGTGGGTTCAGACCCCTCCCATACACGCACTATCAGTTCCCCCGTGCCACGATCTCCTCCTTCAAATATTTAAATAAAATGCCCGTTCTTTTGTTTTCTCTCCATAATAATGTTCAAATTTAAATTTAATTTATATCAAAGGGAAAATAATTAATTAGAGAGTTTGTGCCTCCCACCACCGAGGACCGCATTTCATCAAAATGAAATATACTTATCCAAGTACCCTGGGTAATGTAGTTTTAGAATATATATGGTTATGGGGGTCTCTCTCCAAAACATTAGGAGGAGTTCGATAACTGTTGGGGCTACCCACCTTCTGATGAGAATGGACTGATCTCTCTACGATATAGGACAGTGCTAGAGAGTTCTGAGGAGTTCAGATCTAAGAGATCAGGTGACCATTACACTTCCGTCTCTCTACCGGAAATTACCGTTGGACTTTAGACTCTTGCTGATTGTTACTTACTAACCTGCGTTCGTTTGACTAACCTCTCTGTTGTAAATACCTCTTCAAATATACCAGTATTTTTTCCCTACATATGTGTTTGTCCTTATTTGAATACACGCACGCGGGAACACTCCCAACATCTCAACAATAACACACACAGAGGCTATAACTTATATATTACTTGGTTCCGCGAAGATTTGGGAAGGTCTTTCATGTCCGTAACAGATGGTTAACGAACCCCTGCGTGAGACAGGCGGTGGAAGCCTCAACCGTATAACGCTGGCTTTTTTTTTCTCTTTGCGGCTTGATACTTTGAGGGACGTTGTTTGATATATTTCGCGCTTCCGAATCGCTTTCTTGGCCACTTATGTTTCCCATTGATAATAGCTTAATCGACAGGAGATGAGTCTTTATTTTAGGGAACCCTTATATATCTTCAGTTGGGCTCACTTTTCCTTCGGTCGGAGGCTAGCTCCGCGAATAGGAGGTTTTTGAAAATAATCGCCATACCATATTGTGGCCCAGAAAATCATTCAATGGAACTGTCGCAGACTAAAACCCCGACATCAACGCATTACTATTAAAAACAGATTTATATCTCGCAGTTGTTTGCGTTTAAGAGACCTTTCTTAAACAGGCTTACGGCCACATCACATTGAAACACTGATTCCTGTACGATCAGCGAAGTTAAGCAACGTCAAGTCTGGTACTGACCTAGATGGGTGACCGCTTGGGAATACCAGGTGCTGTAAGCTTGAATATGCGGTTGGTGTAGCGAATAATAGCTCGGAATTGTTAATCGGACAGCCGTGTTCCAATTTTCATTAAGTTCGTTATATTCACTTGCGCGCAAATGCCATTGAGAAAGGCATGAATACATCTCTTCTCCCTCCAGCTATGGATTAATTAGTATTACTTGTATCACTAAACCATCATTATCTTTCTCAAAAATTCTTGCATTCTAAAAATATTTCCTGGCTTTAAATAACCTGCAAAGCCATAAAAAATTAAAAATATATATATATAAAAGAAAGGGTGCTGAAAAATTCTCGATTAGACCAAAAAGCCCTTAAACAAGACAATAACACCAGTATAAAACAATAAAATTACGTAAGTGTTACTCGACACAGAGCTTCTGGGTGTGTATAAATTCTTATTAGATACGATATATCTCAAAATTAGTCTTGAAACTAATCTACAAGTCATTGCTTTGAAAGCAACCTTACATAATTAGTTAATATTTGCTCCATATATATTCCACTACACGACCCCGTAAATGAGAATGAGTTCAACAGACAACGACAGCAACTTCTGAAAGCTTTCATCTTACTGGATGATTTTAACAGTCAGAATATTACACAGGGGTGTGGGAATATAGATCAAGAAGGCGAAACCTTGGAAAACATTTTAATAGAGATAAATGATGCCTCCTCAACAAGAAACTCCAAACTTCAAACCACCTACTGGCAACTATTCGGTTATAGATTTATTTTTATGTGATTTTATAATTTACCTCTATTATATTTAGACAGCACATGACGGCACATGTGGTAGTAATCACTTCAAAATTATACTAGAAAACCTAAGAACCTAATGATGAAAATCTTCCTCGTTGAAAATGAAGCAGAGAAAATTGGAAAGGATTCAATGTAAGAAAAGATTAATCTAAAATGACAATATTAAAGACTTTATAGAAGCCATAATCGCCATCGCAAGAAAATACATACCTAAAATAAAATATAACTCGAAGCTAACGTAACAGATCATGATTTGATAAGAACTTTTGGGTGGTCATCAAAGGAAGACTAGCGGCTTTGTGAAAAATCAACAACTATTCGATAACATCCAACGTAATTCCCTTCAATCTATAAAACACGGAAAACAATAAAAGAAGCCAAGATAAAATGTTTGAAAAATATGTAAGCCTAACTCTTTCTGTTCTGCGTCCGTGTCACAGGTTTATTGATAACCAAAATGGTAAAATTAGTTATTAATAAACCTGCCGATGACCGGGACGCCGTTTTCAGAATCTTAATTGCCTTAAGGTGTTTATCTCGCTGTATTCGAGATTACGCTCGCGTATTCTCGAGGGCAGAACAGTAAAGCGGTGATTAGAATAATAGACCATTCAGCTCATCCCTCGATGAAGAGTGCGGCCAGCTACGAGTACTCCAGCAAACATAAGAAAAAAAAAAAATCTTCAGCGAAAAAATAAGCTCCCTAAAATATCTGACCAAAAACAATACAAAAGTAACTCGTAAAAATGACAGTAGACTTACGAGCCGATATGTTTTGTTTTTAACTCCCCCAATAAAAATGGTAAAAAAACAATCAGGAATATCAAATACAATGCTGAAACTGCAATCGTTCAATTCCGAAGACTGTAGCGGACCCCCGAGCGCCCCAGTATCACACAAGGGTGAATGAGGTCACAAGTGGCCCGCTAACATTTTTGAAGACGTTAAATCTGACGGTGAAACAACATGGACGACAGAACGAGGATATATATGATATATGCTAATTTATTCTAGAAAAAGAAATAAAAGTGGTCGGAACGGTGGAGGTGCAGAAGTTCTAGTGCAGGCATTGATGGTCGAGGTTGGTGTTGGTAGTTGCCAGGATCATCGCTGTTGATTGTTGAAGTTGATTGTTGCCGGGATGATCGCTGTTGGTTGTTGCAGTTGGTTGTTGGCAGGATCATCGCAGTTGATTGTTGCAGTTGATGTTGGTTGTTGTGATCGCTGTTGGTTGTTGCCAACTTGACGTGTTGGGAAGGAAAGAAGAGCTGGCGTTGCGGGCATGTCACAGGTCCAGAGCAGGCGTTGGTTTTGCCGGTCGGTCGTATCAGTAACCTCCCGTATTAATTACTAACATAGTGTACGGGAAAGGTTAAGACGACGCTGGGCAGCCAGTAGGGACGGAATGCCGAGGTCGAACAGGACAGGCCAGGAGTGTTAGGCGAAGGAGAGAGAGAAGGAAAGTTTCAACTATCGTCAAGTTGGCAGACAAAAAAAATGGGAGCGTAACTTAATACGCAGCCTTAAGATCGACGTGCCCGGCCACGAAGGCCAGGAGCCGTGTATCCGACCGTTTCAGTTGACAATATTCAGTCACCCCCCACGAGGGTGTCATAGCACAAGGCCTTTTTAAAGGGAATTCCCGAGCCATTAGGCTTCCAAAAATAGCCCATTTGAACCCGCATAAAAAAAATCTGGGCGTAAACCTCCCGAAGGAGACTCCGCCCTTCGGCGTAGCCTCCTTCGGGTTCCTCTCGCCCGTAGGAAGAGAGTTGAACCGAACAGTCAGTTCAGAGGTGAACGACTGACCGTTTCAGTTGACGACCCAGATTTAGTGAGAAACCACTGTCTTGTGGTAAGGGAGACCAGCAAGTCAATTGGATAAGCTAACAGTAAAGGCTCTATAATAAAATACGTCGAGGTTAGCTAAAGGGAACTATGGCCTAAAAATGTCTAGCAGTATATTACAACTAGGTTTGTAATATAACTTAACTAAAAAGGGGACTTGCTAGTCTCTACCACAGGTTAACAGTGTATAGGGAGCACAAACGAGAGGTCAATGTCGAGATGACATGTTCCTCTTAGTTTAAGGAGCGAAGGAGGAGGTAACTCCGACAAGACAATCATCCCAAAACCCGAAAAAGACAATACAGAGCTACAAAACTATCGACCCATTTCTGCAAAATCATTAAACGTAGGATAAATATTGGACTCACTAGGTTTCTGGCAAACAATGACCGCATCACCGATTTGAAATGTGGTTTCCGGAACAAAAGAAGCACTATTGATCACTTGGATCACGTAGAAACATTCAGAAGGAAAAGCTTCTTCAAAAAATGAACATTAGACAACATTCTATACATATTTTTTTGAACAGGGTATACAACACTGCTTGGAAATACGGTATTTTGAGAAACTTAAATGATTTCGGTCTGAGTGGCAGACTGCCAAATTTCATAATTTCCTGTCGGAGAGAAACTATAAAGTTCGTGGAGGATCTATCGTTTCCGACCTTCAGAAACATAACTAAAACTTTCCTCAAGGAAGCATAGTTACCATCAAGATTAACAATACAGTAGTCCCTCTAGAGTACAGACGAACATGACTCTCCACAAATTATGTGAATTGCCATGCATTTTGGGAAAAGATAGCGGAGTAGATTCCCCTTGCCTTCTCTATGGTTTGGAATTCAGTTTTCCTTCTCTTAGACTGGTTACCATTCCAAGCTAGAGAATTGAGTCTATCCTGTTATTTAATCCATAGCTAAGAGAAGGATTTATAGCTATCCCAATAGCATTTGTCCGGAAGTTAACGTAACAGGCTCGCCAGGAATTTGAACTCGTCTCGCTGATTTCACTTTCCGCGTCGATAATCATTACGCTAACTGCACTCCCATTTTAAATACTTCAGATTCAAATGTAGCAAAGTTTTACAACTACGTGTGACGATTCATGTAGAGGGGGTGTACGATTGTGAAATTTTACTGAAAACTTATACACTATCAATCCATTGAAATTTGGAAGACAGTTGTTTCATTTATGGATAAGAAAAACTTATTTGAAAACGATAAATACGATTTACCACAAAGGTTTGAAACTTTAAAAAAAAAAAAAACATCATTGGAGATTCTATATAGAGAAGACCATGAAGCTCCCTCGCCTTAAAACATGGTTATGAAAAAATTAGCGCTACGATACAATATAAACGGGAATCAGGTTTATCCAAACTTGCTTATGATTATATCTTTTATCCAAAATGCAAGCATCATTTTAAAGACCTGCAATAAAACCTTTCGACGTTCGAAGGGAATCCATCATTGAAGAATAAAAAAATTCACTTGTAAACATACATGATACTATTGTTAAATATTCCCACCATGAGCATTTAAACAACTCAAAATAATTCTAAACGTAAGCGAACAAAACTCACCCCATTACTTACCAAGAAAAACTTCACAAAATCAAAGAACATTATCCAAAAAAGCTACATTTTTACAGATGACTTCAAAGACAATAATAAAACTATATGTGCAGCCGTTTTCAATAAAATAAAGGCCACGAAACGCCTTGCAACACATTCATTTTTAGTACAAAAACCTGTGCAGAAGATTTAGCACTCGGCGTCATTTCAGAGAGCAACTTTCAAAAGATTTATCTTCTAAGACTGCCTTACCATTCTTATGTCTCTTAAAAATACGGAACATATGAAAGCCCTTTAATTGTTAAACTCCTGAGCAAACTGAACTGTGAAAGTCGAGAAAGATTATGCCATGTTGAAATTAGGGGAATCAATAGAGCTACTCGGCAGCCAAATTGGCACTAGAGATAATCTCCAGTGAAGGGTTTGGCATGCAATTTATTGAACTGAACGAGAGTTGGCGAGCTCTTCCAGAAAAAAAAATGTCAGCAACGTTAAACAATATATATATATATATATATATATATATATATATATATATATATATATATATATATATAGACGTTCTTTTTCGGAGTGAAGCCCACTCGAGGAAAGTGAAAATGAGTACACGGAAAGACCCGAAAAGAACAAGTTGCATTGTTCCGACAATGTTTCTGCTATAGACATATACACTATTTTATAATTAGGACAAATGGATGGACAGGAATATGCAGCATACCAGGTACTATATACAGTGAAACACATCCTGATTGAGTGTGGCAATTTATGAACATAATGGGCATATTAAAAAATGTTCATGTGGATGACCTATTATTC